TAAATTCTGACTTACCTTACTTACTAACAACTGAGAGTATTCAGTAGTAGCAAAAGTTTCATTAACCTCTTTCATGATTTCATCAATGTGGATTTTAATTTAGTACAAAGTAAATGTTCAATAAATATTGTTCAAATACACCTACTTAGGCTATTTTCTACATGTTATACCTATAGGATTGAAGGAAGATGAAAATCAAATTTGTTTACTAAATATCTGCTTACGCCCTATAGTGATCTATCTGTTCTCTTTAAGCTCACACCAAAATGATGCTGGTCAAGGTAACCCAAGGGTTTTGTTCTTTTTTTCCTCTCTATTACTGGCCCTATAGGATTAACTCCTATTTGGTGCTTTGTTGGAGTGATATTTTTTCTTTATACTCTCTATACTTCAAAAAATTATTTAAAGCAGTTTACCATTAAAGACACATATACAATAAGGATGATAAAAATGGGAAGAATTATATGAAAAATCCTAGTCTTTACAGTTAAACATAGTCCTGGAGCTTCTTAACAACCAAAGCAAGAACAAAAAGCACACTGTAATTCCTATTGCCTGATTCATCTCAACAGAAAGAATCTTCAAGGTAATAAATTCAAAGAGGAATCTGATGTTTCTTTAACCTAAATGGATGAACATAATAAGGGATATCTTCAACAGTGTTTTTAAGGAGGATGCAGAAAATTATTAATGATAACAGTTTATGTTTACTATGTACTGTATTTACTCTATGTTTAATATGTACGGTATTTACTATATGCTAAAATAATCTTCTATAAATACCATGGATATAATTATAAAACCTTTAGCAGAGTTGAGACTAGAATATTAATTTTCTAATATCTAATTCAGAAAATTTTCTGATTTTTTTGACTACGTTATCCTACACCAAATTCTCTGGAGAGAGAGAATTTGACCTAGGAATTACATATGCATACAAACATACATGTGAAACTTCCATAATATACACACCACATTTACACACACACACAAACCTTGGCTAGTTCCAATAATCCTACTGTAATAAGAGATAAGTAAATAAATGAGTAAATAATTTACTTTCAATAAATAAAAGTGATTCCATAAGTTAAATTCACACAGCATCTGTCAAACTGATGATTTACTACATTTTGCATTGGTTATCCTTGTGTATTTCTCATGGTCCATCAGGTCATAGTTTTTGTTTCATGATCTTTCCTCCAATCAATGCTCAGAGTACAAAAATAAATAAATAAAATTGAGCCTACAATAAAAACAAATCTGGGATTTCAATTTAACACCAGACATAAAAAATCTATATCAATACAAACTTCCAGTTATAAAATAAATAAGTCATGGGGATATAATGTACAGTATGGTGACTATAGTTAATAAAACTGGAATACATATTTGCTAAGAGAATAGATCTTAAAAGGTTTCATCACAGGAAAAACATTTTTTTTTCAAGGGGCTTCTGGGTGGCTCAGTCGGTTGAGCGTCTGCCTTTGGCTCAGGTTATGATCCCAGGGTCCTAGGATCGAGCCCCACATCGGGGTCCCCGCTCAGTGGGAAGCCTGCTTCTCTCTCTCTCCCTCTACTGCTCCCCCTGCTTGTGTGCTTGCTTGCGTTCTCTCTCTCTCTCTCTGTCAAATAAACGAATTTTTTTTCAAGATTTTATTTATTTAGTTTAGAGAAAGAGAGAGAGAGACCACGTGTATGTGCATGAGTGGGGGTGGGGTAGAGGGAGAGAAAGAATCCCAAGCAGACTCCATGCTGAGTGTGGAGCTGGATGCGAGGCTTGATCCCACAACCAGGAGATCATGACCTGAGCTGAAACAAAGAGTCGGACATTTAACCAACTGGGCCACCCAAGTGCCCCAAGAAAAAAGATTTTTTGTAACTGTGTAAGGTGATGGACAATAACTAGACTTATTGTGGTGATCATTTCACAATATAAATATCAAATCATTATACCGTATACCTGAAACTAATATAATGTTATATGTCAATTATACCTCAATCAAAAAGTCTGTATCAACATTCCAAGAAATACAATTCATTACTTTCCTCCTTTTACAAATGTACTCAGCTCTAAATGCTAATAATTTTACTAGGTACATTAAAACATGAAGCCTGGATGAAAACCAGCAGGCCTCCAGGTGTAGTAATACCAATAGCTTCCAGCCCAGCAAAAAGAACACCAACAAATATATTACCACTTAGAAGCCCAGGAACCTGACAACCTGGCTTTTTTTTTTCTTTTAGTTACCCGATAAACCTGAATGAATACACTCAGAGGCTAGACTGCTTTATGTATATATTAGATTTAAAAAATACATGAATTTGGATGAAGCAAGTCATTCTCTTACTGCAAATCAACTATTGAAAATGTATAGAGGGCGCCTGGGTGGCTCAGTTGGTTAAGCGACTGCCTTCGGCTCAGGTCATCATGATCCTGGAGTCCCGGGATCGAGTCCCGCATCGGGCTCCCTGCTCGGAGGGGAGTCTGCTTCTCCCTCATCCTCCCCCATCTCATGCTCTCTCTCTCTCTGTCTCATTCTCTCTCTCAAATAAATAAATAAAATCTTAAAAAAAAAATTATAAAAAAAAGAAAATGTATAGAAATAGAGGATTATAACCCAGTGATTCATTCAGCAATTCCCCCAACTGTGAGCCTTATGATAACTCCCTTCCCTAACTTTGGGCCAGCCAAAAAGTTTAAATTAGTGATTCTTAAAGAACGGAATCCAGAGGAGCACCCACAGTATCACCTGCTGTGAACTTGTGAGAAATGCAAATTCTTGAGCTCCAACTAGACCTCCAGAATCAGAATTCCTGGGGGTGGGGTCCAGGGGTCGTGTTTTGATGCATTCTCTAGGTGACTCTGATGCTCACTAAAATTGGAGAACTGATCTGAAATGAATGGCTCCTCAAAATCTTTTTTTTCTTTGCTGCCTCAGTTCATTCCTAACTTAAATCCTCACTCCTGCTGGTGATCCTAAATCTACTCACTGTAGAGTAGAAAATGTAGAAAATGCACTCAAGCATGGTCTACGTTGTGAGGATGCTTCGTCAGTCACCTCTCTAATGCCTCAACAGAGAAACATCTGTGGATTCTCTGCCCTTCCCCAACCCTGACTGTTCAATGCTCAGTTGTAGCTGCTGAGCACAGTGGGCATGTGTAGCTTCCAGAGGATCCATCCAACTGGCAATCAAGACTGTTTGACTCATTGGCTGCAGCTATTCTCCACAAACCACCTGTGTGTGTGTCCACAGCCCTCGTGTTGCCTGGCCTTTTCAGCCCCTCTGCCAACTTGCCATGTGAATCTGCTGCTCATGGCTGTGGAGGCTGCCCTCTGTGGGTCTTCGGGCTTGATCCAGGATGGAAGCCTGGGACACTACATGATCTTGGGTCCACTTCCATAGTGGATGTCTGTCTCATAGGGAAGCCTGGGGCTGAAAGGGTGAATGGCAATTCCTTAGGAGGAGCAGGGTCTGAGACTACAAAGGGTAAGCAAGTGACGGCCCACACCCAACACTTACAGATGCATCAAATAAAGAACTAGAGAGGAGCTTTGTTTTTAACAATCACTTGCATTGGAGGGAAATGAGGCAGGGTATCCCAAAAACTGTTGCATGTTCTTCTCAGTACCCAGCACTAACTTCCACTTGGTTGGCTCCTTCTTGGTCTCTAAAAGTCATACTGCTGTATTTGAGCATGTCCAAAGAGAATGAGCTAGGTAAAGCAGAAACCCTACTGTCAATATGCAATTAGTTCATTATAATATGGATATGTGTAAATGTAAATTATTGATTAAATTCCAATAAATTTAGGACAGTTTACTGTATTTGTAATATGTATTTGTAATATGTCACTAATTTCAAGAGAAAAATATCAGTGGATTATTTCTCTTTATTTCACAATCTTAATGATTTTTTTCATCTTTCCTTTTTGTATTACTAAAACGCTCAATTAATAAGCCCACTTGGTTCGTCAATCTCCACTGCACTGCTGTAAGGATTAGAGGACATCTGCACCTCTTCTATAGTTTTCTTATCAAAAAATTGAGTGAAGTTTCCAAAAATGCTCTTAAAAGGGTTTGGTAGATGAAGCTATTCCCAGTTATCGCCCCTCCAGTAAAGAATGACTCTGCCAGGAGGGGAAGAATGAAGGGGGGAAATCGGAGGGTGAGATGAACCATGAGAGACTATGGACTCTGAGAAACAAACTGAGAGTTCTAGAGGGGAGGGGGGTGGGGGGATGGGTTAGCTTGGTGATGGGTATTAAAGAGGGCACGTTCTGCATGGAGCACTGGGTGTTATACGCCAAGAATGAATCATGGAACACTACATCAAAAACTAATGATGTAATGTATGGTGATTAACATAACATAATAATAAAAAAAAGGGATCTTAAAAAAAAAAAAAGAATGACTCTGCCACTCTAAAAATGATCTGGCACGTGATGCTGAAGAAAGAGTGAGTCCAGGGACTGAGGAGGCTCTCAGACCTAATTCACACCAGCTGTAATCTGCTGCCTTCTCTAAAACCAGAAAAATAGTTATGGCTCTGCATGGCCAGACTCTATGACCCCACAGACACTCCCCTGGGGTCTCATTCCCTAGTGGGAAGGGTCCTGAGCTAACACTACTGTCATTTTGAATTGGTGCCAACATAGAGCATCATGGCCAACTGTTCTTCTCCACCTTGTATTAAAATAGGTAAAAGGAAGAGGAAGTGCTACGGTCACTATATTTCTTTAAACCTTTGCAGAAATAGCAAGGCCAATTCCCAACTACTCCATAAGTAGACTTTAATTCTTAACACACAATAAGAGAAAAGCTCATTTCAGAACAAGCTGTCATTTCACTAAACAAGAAAAATCGTTAGCATCAATATTGTGTGCTTCTTGTTTAAGACAGCTCCTCTGATCAAAGAAAAAGTTTTATTCCTCTCTCCTAGAAAGAATTTTAACTTATTGCTTGCTCACACAAATCTCTCACAGGGAGTTTGCTGTTTACCTCCTTCAGATCCTGCACAACGGCTGTGAGCCTCTCATTTTCTGCCTGAACGTTGGTGACCACAGCCCGGCTCTGTTTCAGTTCGTTCTGCATCTCCAAGATCTTCCCCAGATAGTAAGCTTCCTTTGATGCAGACTCCTGCAGAAGCGTTTCCTCCCGAGTCTCTCCATCCTCAGCAACCTTCCGGTGGATGGAGAAGGACTGCCCAAAGGCCTGCAAAGTAGTTGGGGAAAAAAAAAAAAAAAGAGTGTCCGATGAAATGTACCATAGCACTATTTAAACAGACTTGGGGAAATGTTTTGTTTTGTATTTTAGAGAAGCAAAACAACACATTTTATGCAACAATCTAACTGCTCTCACTGATACTTGAAATAATTCAAATTCAATTGAAAAGGGGAAAGAGAATTTTTAAATATCTTGCTAAAGATACATATAATGAGTTAAGGAAAACTTGAAAAATACTGCTTGTTTTATGTTACTATTTTCTTAAACCAATCCTATTAAGAAATAGACAGTTCAGTGCTAATGAGGTAATCAAAATTCACATTCTCACTTTCATTCTTGAAAAAAAATCCCAAAAACATTTTTCAAGGAAGAAAATAATGGTTTCATTAGCTTTCTGATACACTAGTGGTAAGAACACACCAATTATGAACAGCACCCTGAAGAGAGAAAATCCCCAAATGGCATTCAAATTGCTCAATACTACAAAAACAACAACAACAACAACAAAAAACCAACATTGAAATGTAGTCACTGTATAAGAAAATTTGTGTGTATCTACATATTTGTGCAAAAAAGAAATACAGAATAAACCAGAAACTAATGAAGTTGGTAAGCCACAGGGGATGAGTGGGAATGAGGCAGAGGGGTGGGGTAGAATGCAATACAAGGGATAAGGGATACTTTCAGGAGCATGCCTTTTCATACAGTCCTGACTCTCAGAACTATGGTAATGTTTCACATACCTCCCAAATAAATAATAACAAAAACCAACCTCTGGGTGTCAGGGGACCCCATGTGGAACACAAACAGTAACAAATGTTCCTAGTTGTACACAAATGAACAACTTAACCACACTAAAAGGGATGGAGAAGAAAAGATCTGGCCTGAGTAATTTGGGAAATCAGTATTTTTGTTATATGCCAAAGACAAAAAGAACTGTACCCAAATCCTATAGTCGAGTTAGTAAATTCTCACAGGGATTATAGGATCACAATTCTAAAAACTTCTTTATATGTATACTAGGGTTGAACGAATAGGTAACTATATTACCAATCATGAATGCCAGGTCTCTCACTATTGGAGAAAGTTACAAGTAAGGAAAGGGAGAATTCTAGAAGGAAACTAGTGGTACTGAGTTATAATTAGAAGCATCAGGATGGGGGTGCCTGGGTGGCTCAGTCATTAAGCGTCTGCCTTCAGCTCAGGTCATGACCCCAGGTCCTGGGATCGAGCCCCGCATTGGGCTCCCTGCTCCGCAGGAAGCCTGTTTCTCCCTCTCCCACTCCCCCTGCTTGTGTTCCCTCTCTTGCTGTGTCTCTCTCTGTCAAATAAATAAATAAAACCTTAAAAAAAAAAAAAGAAGCATCAGGATTAACTTTCAGTCTTTAATAGGTAAATATTCATAGACAGATGGAGAGAGACATTTCCATATGTGCATATCCATGCATGTATTTCCCAGCTCTGCCCACTGAGAGGCCCAGAAGCAAGAACATCTCAGTAGCAATGAGCATACCTGCACCCGGATTTTGTTATCAATCTCCAATTAAAAGGACTAGGGTTCTTTGGAGAAATGATCCATTCTTGAGCTAAAGCAAAATGAATTTCATACATCTTGTGGTGCAAAGAGTAAATAACAAAATGCTTTCAAAAAATAATAGGGATTTGTCAAAGGACAGAAGAGCCTGTCAGAAGGGGCTGCCAATGGCCAAATCTGGGATAATTTGGGCAATAAAATAAATAACTGTAGTAATGAATTATAATCAATAGAATAATATAGTCATGAGTCCACATTGATACAATAACTGAATAAATGAGGGAAGGAATAGCTCTTCCTTATAGTAGAATTCTAATTAATAAATGTAGTAGGGATAGGAATGATGGAAATAAAATATATCAGAATTTGGCAAACACCAAGTAATAATTGTTGCAGGTAAAAATTATCAATGGAATATAAAATTAATAGGCCAAAAGTATGATGAGAAATGGGATATTTGCATAGTCTTAATACTTATTAGGAGGAGACAGCATGATTTAATGATCATGCTGTCTCCTCTTCAAATTTCACTCAGAGGGGGCACCTGGGTGGCTCAGTCATTGGGTGTCTGCCTTCAGCTCAGGTCATGATCCTAGGGTCCTGGGATCGAGCCCTGCATCAGGCTCCCTGCTCCGCGGGAAGCCTGCTTCTCCCTCTCCCACTCCCCCTGCTTGTGTTCCCTCTCTCACTGTGTGTGTCTCTCTCTCTATCAAGTAAATAAATAAAGTCTTTAAAAAAAAAAATTTCACTCATAGAACAGAAATTTAGAAAAATAATAACCTGCAAACCTGTGTCTCAATAAACTATCTTAGAATCTCTATATGGATCAAAATCTAAAGATGGTTCCTAAGCATCAACTGAGAAAGAAACATTCCAGTATGAATGGATGGATGGATGTTCATCTGTACAGAGTAGAACACTCTTGGCATTTGGCTTGTTAAGTCTTTGAACAGAAAGAAGTTCTTATTTGAGTAGCCGAGTTTCTATATGTAGTAATAAGCATATAGACTCATGAACAGATGAAAAAGTATCTCAGGGGTGATGTTTACTTTGCTTTTCCATCAGTAATGGTCAGATTCTGTGAGGTCAATTCTGAATTCATTACCCATTAGATAGCCTTTGGAGGGGAGAGATCTGGCAGCACATTTCCCCACAGTGACTGCTGAAGTCTTCACCAGCCCTCACCCTAGCAAAAGAATCCTGACTATACAGTTAGGCATTAATAAAATTTACAATTAGCATGAATTGTGCATCAAGCAACTCAGCTAGCTTCCTTTTTACAACCTACTTTTCCACTTCTTTGTAACAGAAAACTGCCACAGGGTCATTTTCTTTACTCTGCCTGAGTAAAATCCATAGACTTAGGCACTTAGAATATGGCTCTTATATTATCCTCAGCACATAGGCGATGGTCTCTTGGTAGCTAAAACAACCTCTGAAGTCTTAACAGCAAGTGAATTTGCCTTTCCACCTCTGACATAAAGTTTTAAAAACTGTACTCTGGATCCAGCACCAAAGGAAATAAAAATTTTCAGATAAATACATGGAATAGATTTTCAAAAAAGAATCAAGAATGGAAATTGCAAATATAAACATTTTGATGACTCTATATTTACTGCAGCTCAGAAACCTTAACTGAACATATGGGTTTCCAAAGTTAGTCATTATTTTTATGAAGAACCTGGCCGTTCATTGGACCTGACTGAAAACCAATGAAAGTATGCAAGGTTATCCAAGGACATTAACCATGGTATTTTTCACTTGTAATAGAAAAATAATATCAACGCTGCACAGGCTACAGATGCGCCAAGATGTGTATTGGCAAAGCCACTGAGTACTAACACTACTCAGAAAATATCTGCATTTTAGAAAGGGAGAGTAAAGGAGAAAACACTCCTACTCTGCCTAATTCCTAATTGTCAGTAAGTGGAATGGGACAGGACGCCAACTGACATCTATCATTTGGCTAATTGTTAAAGTGGATTGACCAGACCTGTCAGGCTCTGCCAGGGAGCTTCTTCTCCATCACTATTCCAAGTATGTCCTGAAAAAGCTGGGCCCAAGAGAAGACAAACAATCTTTTTCAAGGCCACTGAAGCTGTATCCTTGGCAGAAATCACAAAACTAGCTTCAATGTCTATTTATAGGCAAACCTAGGGTAGTCATGCTTCTAGTTATATTTCGTTCAGACAGCAAATTCCTTTTAGGTACTGCAATCATTTCATGCATAATTTTCATTTGAAATTAATTCAAGTAAACTGACATTTCTATACAATTTTGGAACATATTATGATTTAATTGCACAATATTACCTTCATAGAGTCCATTGCAATGTATTGCAGTTGCTTTCAATTACATACTAATGTACATAACCCAATGTAGTTATATAGTAAGTTCTTTCCTTTCTCATTCTACTCACATGACTTCTTAATCCAAAGAAGACTGATATTTTTTACATTCATGTTCAGGACAATATATTAGCTGTTAAGTGGAGTTTTCATACCTATTATCCTTCCTAATATGAATGATTAAAGAAATAAAAGTTTGGCTAGTATATTTAATAACATCACATTATGTTAAAAATATGTGTCCTTGGTTACAGAATTTTCATTCTTTCATCTTAAAAACTGTAGCAGGACAGTGTGCTAAGTCACCCAAGGACATTAGACAAAATAGTTTTTATTTGAAATACTAAAATTTATTTGTTTGTTCATTCACTCAACAAGTATTTACAGAGAACTGTAATAGGTGCTGGTTAAGGCACTGAAGATCTGCTATGTTCTAGAAAAAAAGATCTCTGCTAGTGGGAGCATACATTCCAGTGGAACATAAATAAATCAATAAGTATGTGGCATAATGTTGCAAAGTTCTAGAAAGAAAATGAAAGCCAGGGTAAAAGCATAGAATAGCACTACCTACTAGAACTTTCTGCAAAGATGTATCTGTGTTGTCCACTAACCACTAACCACGGGTGACTATTGAGCTCTTAAATTGTGGCTAGTGTGACCAAAGAACTGAATTTTTAAATTTTATGTAATTTCATGAATTTTAATTGTCACATTTGGCTAATGACTACCATGTTGGACAGTGCATGGATAGAGAGTAAGGCAGGCGCTGAGAGAGGAAGCCCTATTTAGACAGGAACTTCAGGGAAGGGGGTAACCTTTGAGCAGACCTGAACAAAGGAAGAAGTGAGCCAGAAGCTGGCCTTTCCCCAAAGCAGCAAGCCTAAATTTAAGTGTTACTAAGCAAGAATTACTGCACTGCCATGTGACCTCTTTGAAGACCATTGGCGGCATGGTGGCATCTTCTTTAAGTCTCTGACACAGCACTTTAAGACCTGAGTGAGCCAGGGATTACTGAGACATGATTTAACTTGTAAGAAGAAAAGGGTTGGCAACTAGCCTGTCACTGTAACCCATCTTCCCCAATGAACTACTTTACCTTCTTTGAA